AAAGAGTGGAGTTTCATGGACGTTGGAGGGACTCTTGAGTCCTTCCAATATGCTTGCATGTTTAGATTTCTTTGGAGAACGAAACAGTGATTGCAACAAAGAAGACATTTTTGGCTTTGTTGGGAAGGCCTTTGGGAATGTAGACTTGTGAGCACGGAATTTGAGAGCTCTTATAAAGACAGGCTTCTTGGGTTTGAATCTGAAGAACCATAGTAGTCTTTTGCATGGCCTGAGAAGCTTGGATTTAACGACACCCAATGCTTTCCCTTTCATCTTGAATAAGCAAGAGAGGAGTGGTGTTGAAGAAAGTAGAGTGCTTTAGTTTAGTGTACTTTTTGCTAGGGTGGTGGCTTTGTTTCTTCTGATTACTATTCTAGGTGGAAGTTTGTTGGAAGCTTTGTTTGGTTTATACTATAGGCATTTTCTATTAGAAACAATATTGTTTGAGTCGATAAGACTACTATAGGTGACAAAGTTCTCCTTGTGAGTATTCATTATAATTACATACTCAATACTCAAACTTGATCACTGATTAAGTTGAAACAAATTCAGAATTTGTTGGAACTTAAGTTGTTGTAACTAAGAGAGGATGAGGTTGTGATGTTGGTTAGAGAGAGGGGAAGTCTATTGGTGAGTTGAGAGGGTGTGAGGTCTTTAATAAGTTATGCTTCTTCTGTAGTTAGTTGGTGGGTGTGGGTTTCACGTCTTGAGTGATGTGGCATTGGATAGAAATGGCATAGCAGTAGCATGAATATGTTACCATAAAAATGACACAATATACGCGTTAAGGGAAAAGAAGCAGGGCTGTCTTTAGCTGTACTATGATCATTCATTTAAAAAACAAAAATATTTTATTTATTTTGATTACCATTCTGATCTCTAACATGTGTATGAGTATATGAAGAGTTTCAATCGTTAATATAGTAGAATTCAGCGTTATTCCATGACATCTAGCCTAGATAATATACACAAAAGTCGTGTTAACATACATTATATATTAGATATGGGAGCACTTTGGATGTTTTCTTTTCCCAAAAAAAATTATGATACTTTTTTTAATATTCCATAAAATACTTTTTTTAATTAAAAAAAAGTAGTAAAATGAAAAGATATCTTCAATACTATTGAATAGGTGTCAATAACATGATTCGACAAAAATGAACGTGTAAAATTATTGCACGAGTTATTTGTGTTCAATTTGATAATATTGTGTGTTAGTTTTTTTTTTATCACTTTTTAGTGCATCCAAAAAAGTGTATTTTATGAAGTATATTATTAAACAAAAGTATCAAAACTTTTTTTTAGTACTCTTTTTACAACAACATATATCTAATTATTATTGAATTTTTTAAAATATGTTGGTTTAATTAACAAATGTTGTAAAGAAAAAACTTAAACAAAGGGCCTTGTCTTTTAAGAATATGTTTAGTTTAAACAGCTAAGAATATGTTTAGGTGAGAGATTATTAGAGTTAGTGGAGTTGGTGAGTAAAATAAAATTCGGCTTTGTCTTGATTGTTGTCTCGCCTCTTATTTTATTTTCTTGGCATGTTGCTCATGAACAATAAAATTATAGAATAAAGATATATATGAGACAAGTGAAATTATTATAGTTAACAACAAAGGCTACTTTTCCGCGGGATAGCGGGAAAAAATAAAATGAATAATTTAGATGCTGAAAACTCTAATTATTGTAAATGAGCCAATTACGCCAAGTTTTTCTTTTCATAATTGCGATAAATAAAAAATAAAAAGTAAAAGGATTGGAATCATTTACAACCGTATTGGGCTTGACCTAAACTGTTCAAACAGGCTTGATGACTTTCTACGATAGCACAACCTGTGCATTTAAATTTGGCAAATTATATTTGCACCTCGTTTTATTAATAAAAAAAAATACACCTTTTAATTTTGTTAAAAATAAAACTTCTTAAATAATTTTCAAATTTATACCTTATTTTTCAAATAATCTTTCTTTTTGAAAATGTTCTTCACCACTCACTCTCTTACTCTATCATCATTTTTCATTCCATTACCCTTATATCGTTCATATAAATTTTAACAAATTTACTATAGATAATGATTTTTAATTGAATGATGGTATAAAATTATTTTACATTGTTAATTAATAACTTTTATTTTTCTAAAATAATTATTATGCATTAAATAATATGGAAAAATACAACTTAATTTTTTTAATCGTTGGATGAGGATAGCATGGTCCTACAATTACTTTTGAAATGCATAGAATTCTACTAATCCTACATGTGCTTTTTAAAACTTTCTTGAACTTCTTAACATTAGTGAGCTTGGCATTTCTAAAGGATTGTTTGAAATGCATTAAATACACACCTATGTTTAAAAGCAAATGTGAGAAACCAGAGTCCTATATTGGGCCTGCAAGTGAGAGAAGGAGAAACAGAGCATGGCCTATATTAGGTGGAGTGGAAAGACATGATGGCCCTTATTTCATTTCATTATAAAAACCCCCCAAAAAGATAATAAAAAAAGAAGAAGAAGAAGGAAACGAATGAAAGAGTTAGAGAGATGGTTAAGGCAGCACTATGCATGTGGGGGATTGTGGATAAAAAGGCAAAGAATGCGATCATTCCTAAAGCCAAGAATTGGGGCATGAATGAATCAGCAACCATAAATGGTTCTCATCATTGCTTGTTCAAGGTCAATGTATATATATAAATATAGAGGCCAGACAGAGCGTGGAGAAGCAGATCATGAATTGAATCCTTCAACTGCCAGCAGTCAGCAGTCAGCAGTCAGCAGTCAGCAGTCCAGACAAAAGAAAGAAAGTATGCGTAAGCAAGGAAGGAAAGCAACCTTGTTGCATAGTAATGACTTGTACACACTGCGTAGAGGCTTCAACATCCATCTCCAACATTAGTCCTATCATCATTCATCAAATGCCTATCATCCATACACGCTTTTACCTTGGATTGTCAAATCTATGGGGGGTCAATTCATCCGATGCAACAGGTAGGTGCCATTCTAAATTTTGTCCAAGACAAAATTTAGACACAAGTATTGCTGGTGCTTTTTTTTTTTTTTTTTAATCAAAATTAAAATTTCATCTAGTATTACCTACATGAAAATCTAATTTTTATTAGAAAATAATATCATTGTAATTATATCTTAAATGTTTATGATCTACTTTTTGTCTTACTAGGATCTGTCTAATAGAATTATTATGGTTGGAGACTAATTTCTTAATCGAAATTTTGTCAATATATTTAAGAAATTCAATAATTATTTATCAATTGTGGTTGACTTTATTTATTGTCTAACATAGTAATTATTTAAAAATCATATCTAAAATATGTTTTAAGTTAAAATACTTTTTAATTTCTATATTTTCACTTACTTTACCTTTTATTTTCTATAATTTAAAATATTTTAGTCTTTATATTTATTATTTTCAATCATTTTTAGTCTTTATAATATAATATATACATATTTTTCTTATTATTTTTTTTTGTGAAGCTATCTACTTTGTATTAATGTGGTAGAGAAAAAAATTAATAACAAATATTAAAAGGATTAAAAAATTATAAACAAAAAATATATATTTTAAAATTATAGGAATTAAAAAATATTTAAAATGATAAATATAAGAACTAAATAATAAAATAAGTAAAATTATAGGGGCTAAAAAATAATTTTAACTTATTTTTTAATTAGTTGATAATATAAAAATCTTTACATGAACATGATAGAAAATTACACTTTTACTGTCGTATTCCAATCAACTTCCCAAATATGTTTTGTGCATCTCCTTTTTCATAATGATGAATAGTGTGGGTTACGGAATGTTTCTTGTACAACTATATTACAATGGTTATGATGGAATTGATAGCTTAGACGAGCGTGAATATAGAAAACTAATAATGTTGTAGTAACACAAACAGTACGAGCTTTGTGCATGTTTGCTGGTAAGCAATGATGAGAGAAAGTAATTGGGTGGACAAACTTGGTCCCCTTGCTTTCATGCTGGTGACTTTTGGACCACCAACTTTAATTTTTTTCTCCTGTTATAAACCAAGCTTTCTGTCTTTATTCATCTTCCATTTCACTTTGTATGAATTGGAAACACATCTGAGGCATCACAATAAAGAAAAACAGAAACTTAGATTAGAGAGCAAGTGTGTGTGTAATATCTCCGATGGGTAACAACAGATTCAAGTTGTCAGATATGATACCAAATGCATGGTTTTACAAGCTGAAAGATATGAGCAGATCAAGGAAGAGAAATGGTTCTCATGTTATGAAGAGTAAAGTGTCCTCACCAACAACATCTCAAAGGTCGCAGCCAAGGTATTCACACTATTTCTCCACTGAGCCGATAAGAGCTGGGAAGCTATACAACACTCCTATTCACACCAAGGACTTGGACATGCCATTCAATGATTCACCTAGAAGGTCTTCCAAGAGAAGGGCTAGGAGAAAAACCATTTACAAGCCTTCTCCCACTGTTGTCTCCTCCTCTTTCATACCTGCTTCCAGCTATGACTCCACCAATCACTGGATCAAGCCATGTCAAATTCAGTCACCATATTATGATGTATCTTCAGTTGAAAGCTCTTCTGAATCCGACCCCCATGAATATGTTTATTCCGAGTCTGAATGTGACAATTTTTCTGTTCCTGACTTGCTCAATGGAATGGCCTCTAACTGCAGTTGCAGAGTTAGCTCTTCCACTAATGACATCATCATTGACATGAACAATGAGTCCTTCCTTGGGAACTTTGAAAAGCAAGATAGGTTTGATGCAATTTCACAGCTAGGACTTGCTCCAATATTGACAAAGCCAGTGAAGTATGATGATAAGATCATTGAAGCCATTGAGTTGAGAAGTTCAACAGATTTGGATGAGCTGCAGGATGATCAATCTTTCTCAATTGAAATAAACAAAGAGGAAAGCAATAGAACTCAAAGGAGGAGAAAAAGCAGCCACAGAAAGCCCTTTGCTAATTCTGCAGGCATAAAGCTTCGAGTCAATTCTCCAAAACTTGCAAGCAGAAAAATTCAAGCCTCTGCAAGGAGGAGTGTGTCATCTACTGCAAGCAAAGCTTCAAGAAGTACAGGATTTCCGGATGGATTTGCTGTTGTTAAGTCCTCATTTGATCCACAGAGTGACTTCAGGGAGTCAATGGTGGAGATGATTGTGGAGAACAATATTCGGGCATCGAAAGATTTGGAGGACTTACTTGCTTGCTACCTTTCCCTCAATTCAAGTGAATACCATGATCTCATTGTTAAAGCATTTGAGCAAATTTGGTTTGACATGGCTCAACGCAGAATGTAAAGATCTTAATATTATTCAATTCATGTTTATAGTCTTGTAAGTTGTAACTTCCGCCACGCTTTGGATCAACATCTGTTCTGAACTATCAGGATGCCAAATTTGGTATCCTTATATAAAAATGCCCTCAAGTTTTGACAACCTGAAATATGTCTAGCAACATTGAATTTGTGTTAAGAATCATTTGATTTCTAACTTGATTTAGAATTTTGCTACGGATTGTGATAACTATATGATTCAAAATCTCTAGCTGGATTACCTGATGACTACAAACTAATGACTATAAGTACTTTGGTGAATTCCCTTGCCACTTCCTTATCAATGCTGTCACTATTTGAGTTGCTTTGGATCTTTTGTAGTGTCAAATGTCAATTAAATGTCTTACTTTGAAGCTTTTAAGAATTTAATTATATCTTCATTGATTTGTGGTATAGTTGATATGCAAGTGCATGCCCGAGTCCACAAACAGGGAAAAAAAACACAGCTCTCTATTTCTATAGTTGTGATGTTTGAAAATTTGTCCAATTATGGCAAAATTCGCTCTGCAATATAAAGAAGTTATTCAGGGAAAAATAAAATGACTTGGTGTTTCTTGGGATAAAAATATGATATTCTGAAAGCTCTAAGAAATAGTTAGCCTAATGACTATTCTTTCCAAATTATTTCTTGAAGAGTCTATCATTATATAGAATTGTGACACACAAGCCCTGTGGCAGATTCTCATTCCCTTTGACAAGTGCATTGGAACTTGGGGTTGTAACAATCGCAATTAGAGAAGCAAGCGATAGAGTTATGGTTGCTGATATGTCATGAGTCAGAACGCTAGACATTTCCTAAAATGTCAGCCACATTGTCAATCAGAAGATTCAGAACGTTGGATACATCAAATGCACTAGATAACATTGCAATTATGTTGGCAATTCTGCTTTGTGGGGTCATAACATATGAAAGCATATTCAATGACATGAAAGGTCCTCATAATGTAAGCTCCCTTGCTAGCTATTTACCGATTAATGACATAAAATATGGTAGATCTTCGCAAAAAACTTTGACAATTAAGTTTATTTAGGTAAATTTTTCATAAATACTTTTAGGAAAGAAAAATACAAAAGAAAAATGAAATATACTTTTACATATAATTGATGCGGTATCAAAGAAAAAAACCGGATTGATTATTAATACCATTATATCTGTATGCTGGATTGATTAAGTTTAATTTTGTTAGAATATGACTGTTTGGATTCTTAGGACAAGGATAAGGGAGAAAATTAGATGGCTTGATTAAGAAAATCAGAAGACTCTACTTGCTTTCAAGTTATAGATGGGAGCTACACCTGCATAATCGGTCTCTTAACATACAGAAAAACATTTCAGGTCATGTTTCTTACAAAAATCTACTAGTGTAGATTCTAGATGGCTCCAATTCACCCAAGTTTGAAGTACTGTGGAACTCGAGTTCATCAATTCATAATGCTTCAAGCAGCACAGAAAATTTTGCTGACACCCCAACTTTTTTCCACTATAAAATGAGCTTATAATAAAGTTTACTCCCTCTTGTATGAACAGACTCTAAAACATCATTATTCCACTGAGATCCAATATTATTAAGCTTCACAATCTAGGGACATATAATTAACACTACAGTTTTATTTAAATATGCAAATCTACAATCATAGCCTTGAAAATAACGCCATGATGCATGTTGATTGATGACTATTGGAAATATTAAAAAAAAAAAT